AATATTTAGCACATCTGAGTCCAGCAACAGCCAACTGCCCATCACTGAAAAACAACACTCTTCTTGAGTAAAATGCAAAACCCAAATGCATTTAAAGAAGGTGCTTTTAGCAGGCAGCCATGTCTCAGCGGTGATGCCTGAATCTTTGTGGAGAAACACACAAAGAACACCTGTGTCCACAGGTTCAGAGTTCAGAAGTGCCTCGAAAGGCGAGGTGACGCTAGACCGGGCGCAGTGACCTGAAGCACCACCAGGCAGCAGTAGTGCTCTTTGGAAGAGCAGAAAGTTTCCAGTCCCTGACATAATGCACCATGACACTGGAGATCCGAGGAAGAAACCTGCCCTTAACTCTACTATAAACCATTTCATGCTGCTGAATGGAGGCTGAAACCCTTAGCTGTGCCTCCACAGTAGGTTCGTCGTTTACACGGATGGTTTTCAAAAGGCATTTTTCAGTTGCCATTGTACCCCACCCCTACCCGAAAAAAGGTGGTGATTTACGTTGCAATGCTTTACCCTGGAATCGCACCACAAATCTGGTGCTGATTCACAGAGCAGAGCTCGCCTTCTCGCCGCAAATCACGGTCGATTTTCTGGCCAGGCGTGAAAAAGGCCATCAACCTGCCGCTGGGAGGGACATTCATCAGGCGAATCTAGAGCCTGCTCCCAAACCAGGACACCAGTGATCTACAGAGGAAGTTCTGGGAATTGCTGTTTGGTGCAACTGTGACAAGAACAAGAACTTGGATTGATGATGACTGACAGGAGAAAGAGGGCGAGGGAGTCAGGGCTGTTTCTGTGGTTCTTACCTTCACTGGAGGTCATCTGGCTTTTAAGCTGGTTGTACCTATCAGCTTTGGGTGGCAGCGGCGGCTGGGTTTCCTTGTCATCTAAACCATCGAGGCTGCTTTTGGACTACACGAACAGGAGACAAACACAAAGTGTCACAAACCTGCACATGGCAACTAGTCGACGTTTAAATTTATACTTAGGAGTGGCTGTAAAACGAAAAAAGAAATAACGGCAGAGTTGGATTAAGATTCTCAGATTAAGGGATGTAATGCTGGTAGCAGCTGACGCAGTCTTGAGCTGGAAGTCAGCTGTGCTTCTATTTAAGTCACCGTCTGCAGATTTCTTCCCTTTAAAAACTTGCATTATTAGGCCGAGACGGCACCAAACTTCAAATGACACGACTTTGTCATTTAGCAATCAAAACAGTTTTCTCCAGTACCAGCTCTTAAGAACTTAAGAACAGGCAGAAAAGAAAATCTAAGTAATCAATCCTAGTTGCAGAAAGATCCCTGACTAAGCACAGAAACCAGGAAGTAATTCTTCCATTGTAATAAAGCTAACTTTCCTCTTAATATTTTCCTTCCCAAACCATAGATGCGACAAACCATGGTTAACTAAAAATAAAACGAAACTTCAGCCAGACATGAAGAAGAGGGAGTTGCAATAAAATTAACTGCTCCGTTGAGGCCTACTTAAGAAAGCCGACTCGGATTTTCCAAAAGTTAACAACACAAGGAACAAAAATGTTCCAGAGTCTGGGGACAATCCAAGGGTGACTTCCCAGCCGGCATGTCATTCCTCTGCTCTCTTTTCCATATCTCATCTGCCCCTTAAAGACAAGTTTCAGTCTGTTTAGTCCAACCTGTGGGTCAAATTAAATATGAATTGCTCGATATAATATTTCATTCGTTTAGTCGTTCTGACGCGCGTGTTTCACCCTGAATTTATCAGCAAGTGCGCAGCAGTCTAGATTTAAAGTGAGGTATCTGTGCCATCCTCTGCATAACCCGTTGTATTTTTGAATAATAATAAAATAATATGTTGACATAAGTCTTGTTAGTATTAAAGTAACCATATTGTTATGCAGTGTTATCAGTGTATGCATTCATAAAGACAGATTTGTTGTGAGATTTCTTGTCAGTCTGTGTTATGGGCAGTAACTGGTGGAGGATAAGAGCTGGAAATGTGTTTCTTGTCCTCTGTGGATTAATACTAAATGGATTCTTTTCACTCCATACATTATTGATGAATACCAGGATCATCTTTAGTGCCTATGAAAGTTGTAGCGTGCACCATCGTGCTCACACAGCACTTCAGTGCTCCTAATGACAACATTAATGATACAGGCCTGGATAAATGCTAGTGCAACCTGATTCCAAAAAATGTGGGACGTCATTTAAAATGTAAATAAAAGCAGAATGCTATTATTTGCAAAAACTCATAAAGCCAATTTGTTTGAAAACATATCAGATGCTTAAACTGGGACATTTTGCTGTATTACACCGAATTTGATGGCGGCAAACGTTCTCAAAAAAATTGGGAAGCTGGAGAAAGTGCTAGAAAAGTGGTTGGAACTAAAAAGAAGCAGGCAGAGGAACATTTGGTGTCTAATTTAGGTTCACTGACAACAGGTCAGTAACATGACAGGGTGTA